TCTCTAAAAGAAGGCAAATGACCAGCTGTCTGCAAGGAGTATAAATCCTTCCGTTCCCCACCATCCAGTCAGAGCTGAAGAATCTTCTGGGATGAGAAGCGACACGTCTTCAAAGAAAAACAAAGAAGTCCAGTTATCTCCTGAAAAAGCACCTTTGGGACAGTCACGACTTGGAGGACTCTCCGTAGACATTTCGCTTTTACTTTCTACAGCGATATCTTACATAAGTTCCCTTCTTGGGCGTTCACTTATTGGCTGTTTCTAATTTTTATCCAGCAATTCAAAAGGATGGGGCTCTTTAAAACTGCCGTTTAGCAGCCAATCCAATTTTCCTTGATATGTTCTTTCAAGGAACATCGCAGCTCTGGGCTCAGCTTTGCAGCTTATGTTGTGTTCTGAACCGCTTTTATAAGGCAAAGGGAGATGATGTTCTAAAAATCTCACCAGCCCAAAGAAACCACAATAGTAAGCTTGCTCACCAAACAAGACAGGTGGATAAAGTTGCTAAATGTCTTAACATTGGAGATGAAAGAAAAAGATGATTCAGTTTATTTTATAACTTGGGATACGTTTTATCAATGGTTAAGAGACATGTTAGAATTTGAAAAGGATCTAACATCTCAGAATAGAAGATTGATTTCTAACCAAGTTCTAATTAATAGGTAGATGACATTGTTATTTTTAGCGATTTAGTGATTTTTATCTATGCTGATAGTTAGGATTTTCTGAGGTTTTATTATTTGTGTTTATTTAATAGATGAATTTATTTGTTTATTAACTGTTTGTAATGTGGCTATAGTTAAGCTTATTTTAAGATATTCACTCATTATTATGATCCGGAGCTTGTTTGTTAAAATATGTGATTGTACCTTTCCTTATTTTATCCTAAATCCCCTATTTCCTTCCCCCCATCCCTCTCCCTTACCATACCCATATTGTTCCTAATTTTCCCTTGTCTATATAAAACTCAATAAAATATTGTTAAAAAAAAGTTGCTAAATGTCAGCCGTAGATTAATCAACTAAAAACTTTAACCTAGTTAACCAGGAGAAAAAGAGAATGGATGCTGTTTTGAAAGCGCAGGGCGAACACTTTCTGTTCTATCGTCCTGATCAATGGTTACGGCCCCCGACCAGATTTTATACAGATCCCTGTCAGCAATTCATTTCTTGGATAACAGTAGCCTCTCTCACTAGTCATGCCAGGGGGAGAAAACGGCAGACGACTCCACAAATTCTGGTCTCTTGGGGTAGAAATCAACCCCACCAGGAAGGGAAATGGCATTTGGTCTTGCATGTTTTACTTTAACCCAAGTTCTTTCTGAACACACAGGATTATGCATTCTGTAAACGCCCTGCGTATTTTCTTTTTATTTCTTTGCTTTCGCTTCTGCTGTCTGGGAGGGGGGGAGGGGGGGGGAGGAAAATCTACAAAACTCAGCCTTTTGTCCAAGAAAAAAAAGTATAGAAGAACGCAAGGTGCCTGGCTGCCTTTACATAACTGTTTCTTTACACAGCTCTGGAATATTTTTTTTTCGCGATTTCCAGATGTAAGAATGTAAGGGGGGGGNTTTCAAACAGAGACATGTGGCAAGAAACTTAACTTGAAAGTTTTTGTAAAATGGTAACACCTCCTTTTTCCTATTAACAGGCTAAAAAAACTTGGAAATCATTGAAAAAGCTTCTGAAAAAGCCTTTGGTTGAAAAGACGGCAGCAAAAGAAGCAGAAAAATCTACAGACCAGAGTAATAATTGGAAGCAGAAGGCTGCTGTTCCCTGTTACTGCTCTTGTGACAAAGCGGAAACTGCAACGCCAGCCCCGTCGACCCACACAACTGAGGCATCTTAAATGAGGAAAACAGGATTCCAGCCTTTTTTGTGATTTTCTAAAGGAATAAAACAGAATAAAGCATGCTTAGTAGAATCTTAAAGCAGCAATGTCATGTCTTCATTCCTTTCCTTTTTCTCATTGGATTGTTTCTGCTTTTAGTGTAAGGTGTTCAGATTCATTTGGAGTTGGATGGCCTCTTAAATTGTGAAGGGAGGGTGACCATTGCCCTGCGGGTCCCTGAGAAGGACTCAAAACCTGCTTTTGTCATGGGACCTGGGGGAATCTCATGGAAGGGTGAAGCCCTATTGTGTGTATGTTTGCAGTCTCCCCCTGTATGTCTGTGGAGATCCTCAGTCATCCAGACCATAGTTGCCCCAAATTTGCTTTTTCACAAGGCAGCTGGACCTTCTTGATTTTCTTTGAAGACGTGTCGCTTTTCATCCTAGAAGCTTCTTCAGCATGTTTGGCCTAATGGAGAGAAGGCACAAGTGGAGACACATGATAGCCAGCTTTCGTTATTTGAAAAAACTTCCACAGGGAAGAGGCATCCATTTGTTCTCTATAGCACCAGAGGGCAGTGGAGGAATTTCCCGACAGGATGAAGGAGTAATCAAGGGAACAGCTCGCCTCCTGGCATTGTGGGTCTTGAGAAAGAAAAAAATTGGACAACTGAGAGTTGGACTAGAAGACCTCCAAGGTCCCTTCCAGGCCTATGACTCTATGGTTGTATGTTCAGCCAGGTTCCTTCTCCTGCCTCTCTCCAGGGTGCTGAAAAGGGTCCACCTTCCACAGCTGAATCTTGCGTAGCTCCAGAAGGCTCTTACAATGGAGAATCTATCCACCAGCCAATTGCACAATTGCTCTTATGTGACTGGATCGTGATTGTGCTCTAACGTTGCAACATTTCCTCACAGAGGAAGTTTCTCCTTCCGCCCAGTAATTTTCTCTGCTTTTCTCCCGTTCTACGCAAAGAGACCAAAACTGCAGAAAAACACAAGCAGCGTAAGATTAGGAAACCTGTCCAAAGGTTGTTCAGTTAAATGTACGTTAAGAGGGTGTCAGAGGTCAGCTACATTATTTTATTATCATTATTGATTGTAATGGCATTATTGTTTTATGTAACCCCAGGTGGCAGACATAGCTAATGCTATTGCCTCCTATTTTGCCCACAATAACCACAACTCTTTCAGCAGTTCCAAGAAGGGTCTACACCCATTTGCACCACTCAGGTGACCCTGAGGACACAGACAAACCTCCAAGTGGCCTCAATGACTCTCTAAAAGAAGGCAAATGACCAGCTGTCTGCAAGGAGTATAAATCCTTCCGTTCCCCACCATCCAGTCAGAGCTGAAGAAGCTTCTGGGATGAGAAGCGACACGTCTTCAAAGAAAAACAAAGAAGTCCAGTTATCTCCTGAAAAAGCACCTTTGGGACAGTCACGACTTGGAGGACTCTCCGTAGACATTTCGCTTTTACTTTCTACAGCGATATCTTACATAAGTTCCCTTCTTGGGCGTTCACTTATTGGCTATTTCTAATTTTTATCCAGCAATTCAAAAGGATGGGGCTCTTTAAAACTGCCGTTTAGCAGCCAATCCAATTTTCCTTGATATGTTCTTTCAAGGAACATCGCAGCTCTGGGCTTAGCTTTGCAGCTTATGTTGTGTTCTGAACCGCTTTTATAAGGCAAAGGGAGATGATGTTCTAAAAATCTCACCAGCCCAAAGAAACCACAATAGTAAGCTTGTTCACCAAACAAGACAGGTGGATAAAGTTGCTAAATGTCTTAACATTGGAGATGAAAGAAAAAGATGATTCAGTTTATTTTATAACTTGGGATACGTTTTATCAATGGTTAAGAGACATGTTAGAATTTGAAAAGGATCTAACATCTCAGAATAGAAGATTGATTTCTAACCAAGTTCTAATTAATAGGTAGATGGCATTGTTATTTTTAGCGATTTAGTGATTTTTATCTATGCTGATAGTTAGGATTTTCTGAGGTTTTATTATTCGTGTTTATTTAATAGATGAATTTATTTGTTTATTAACTGTTTGCAATGTGGCTATCGTTAAGCTTATTTTAAGATATTCACTCATTATTATGATCCGGAGCTTGTTTGTTAAAATATGTGATTGTACCTTTCCTTATTTTATCCTAAATCCCCTATTTCCTTCCCCCCCATCCCTCTCCCTTACCATACCCATATTGTTCCTAATTTTCCCTTATCTATATAAAACTCAATAAAATATTGTTTAAAAAAAAGTTGCTAAATGTCAGCCGTAGATTAATCAACTAAAAACTTTAACCTAGTTACCCAGGAGAAAAAGAGAATGGATGCTGTTTTGAAAGCGCAGGGCGAACACTTTCTGTTCTATCGTCCTGATCAATGGTTACGGCCCCCGACCAGATTTTATACAGATCCCTGTCAGCAATTCATTTCTTGGATAACAGTAGCCTCTCTCACTAGTCATGCCAGGGGGGGAAAACGGCAGACGACTCCACAAATTCTGGTCTCTTGGGGTAGAAATCAACCCCACCAGGAAGGGAAATGGCATTTGGTCTTGCATGTTTTACTTTAACCCAAGTTCTTTCTGAACACACAGGATTATGCATTCTGTAAACGCCCTGCGTATTTTCTTTTTATTTCTTTGCTTTCGCTTCTGCTGTCTGGAAGAGGGGAGGGGGGGGGAAAGAAAATCTACAAAACTCAGCCTTTTGTCCAAGAAAAAAAAGTATAGAAGAACGCAAGGTGCCTGGCTGCCTTTACACAACTGTTTCTTTACACAGCTCTGGAATATTTTTTTTTCGCGATTTCCAGATGTAAGAATGTAAGGGGGGGGAGGGAAGTCTGTCTAATTTCAATCAACATCACCCAGTGGAATGATCTCTCCCCCCCCCCTCTCATTTCTTCTGTTATGTCACAAGTATCCCCTGGGGTTGGACCTACATCTGGAGCATCGCCCGATTCTCATTCCTCAAACAGCTGATGCTGCCACTTCTCTCCAACCTCATTGGCTTGGGAGAAGATTTTTTCCCAGCTCCTGTCAGCTGGCACAGCTCAGGGAGGTTTTTTTATAAAAGGAGATGCCGCATCCAGGCAGAATACACCGAAGTGGGTCTGCCTCTCAGCTTCTCTCTGGCAAAAGCTTCCCGAGATCTATCCGTCATGCCGACGGTGGGCAGGTTTGTGGCGGTGCTTCTGCTGACCTGGACTATGAACTCAGCTGCCCTGCCACGAGAAGAAAACTTTTCTGCACAGACCAGCAGGGTGAGTTTGGAAACCAAACAAAAAAAAAAAATGACATTCTTTCAGTATCTTAGGAAGAGGCTTTAAAAGAAGAAGAATGAAATAGTCCGTGCTTCTGGCTGGTGGGATGTCAGTGCATGAAAAAGGGTTTCTCGTAATAAGGGGTGTGCTTTAGCCGGTCCCTGCGAAGAAATCAGAGACAAAGCAAGCAGGTTTTGTTAGGGGGGGGGCGGGAAAATAACTGATCAGAAAGAAGAGAGCCTTAATCTAAGCTTTTAGTTTAAACCTTGCCTTGGGGATTGCAAAAAAGAAGGAAGAGTAATAGAATTTTAAAGAATAACGATGCCAGCTTTTATGAGTTCCCTCAAAAGCCAGTCTGCTGGAGCTCCGTGTGTCCTCTCGCCACAGAAGGAAAAAAAGGGGGAAGAGATAACACACACACACACACACACACACACACACAGAGAGAGAGAGAGAGAGAGAGAGAGAGAGAGAGAGAGAGAGAGAGAGAGAGACTGAAAAGAATCGCAGAATCCTTGCCTCATTAGGCTATCCCCAAGACAAACGCAGGCTAGGACAGATTATTTTCTAAATAACCTTTCTTGCATCTTTAGTGGTGTTCCAAATCCATTTGGGAGCTATAAATTGCTGGTGCTTTGGTTAGGAATGGACTTTATCTACATACTACGGGGTTGCCAGCTGCTTATAGAAAATTTAAAGCCAGGCACTTCCAGCTGGAAGGAGCAGGAGCAGGGAGGGAGGAATCCTTGCTATGCAGAGAGTCTGAAAGCGTAGCATTAGCTGCTTTGTTATATTCTGATTTACCATGGACAGCCCCGTGTCACAGCGACCACAGCAGATGGCTCTTAAATTAAAACTATTGGACGGACGCCCTTTCAAAAGGTGTCTTTTGGTCTAGTAGATCACACCCCGTGACACAAGGGCAATTGTCGTTTGAACCCAGATATTCCAAGACACCCGGGAGGGGCCTGGGAGGAGATTCAGTTGTCTGATTCCCACCAGCCTTGGAAGCTGGGAGGGACAACTGTCCACGGGATAACTCGCCACAGGAGAAGCGTTACACTAATGTCGAAGAAACGGTGGAACAGAATCATTAAAGGATGAGAAAGGAGGGACAAAATGAAATGCGAACGACAGGAAACGAAAATGCGTTTTTCGTCATTTTAAATCATTGAATTCTTGAATTGTCCCTTAGCCAGTGGTCCCGGGGCGAGCTGACCATGGCATGTTGGCCGTGGCGAGTTGTCTCCATCCAGGGAGAGGAGCATAAAACCTCAGATAGACCTGTTGCATCAGGAAATGTGAAGTTAAGCCCGACTTCTGGGGAGATGGAAATCTTTTGCTGGAAAGAGAAGGAGGCTGGCTTGGAAATGGGGTTGGTTGCTTCAGGGAGGCTTTTTCAGTTTCACTAGCCCGGGGGTCTGCAACCTTGAGAACTTTAAGACTTGTGGACTTCAGTTCCCAGAATTCCTCAGCCAGCATAGCTGAAGTCCAGAAGTCTTAAAAGTTCTCGAGGTGGCAGACCCCTGCTCTAGCCTACAGCCCTGGGTTCAAACCAGTCATGCTTAGCTTTTCAATCCGTGCTCAGAGAATGAAAAGGACTCCTTTGGAAGGAGAAAGTCACGTAGAAATAACGCCACGGACGCGTTATTTCTACGGCGTTCTCCTTATACAGGTAGTCCTCAACTTACAACCGTTCATTTAGTGACTGCTCGAAGTTACGACAAGCGACTTACGGCCGTTTCGCTCACTTACGTTCGTTGCAGCCCCCCCACGGTTTCACAATCAAAGTTCAGACACTTGGCAATTGACTCGTATTTATGACGGTTGCGGTGCCCCGGGTTCTGACGAGCAAAGTCAATGGGGGGCAGCCCGGTTCACTTAACAACCGTGTTACTAACTTAGCCACTGCTGTTGTTCACTGAACAACTATGGCAAAAAAAGTTCGTAAAGTGGGGCAAAACTCAGTGATCAAAATTTGGGGCTCGTTAAGTCAAGGACTGCCTGGATAAACAGGAACGGATTTGTCTTCAAGATCTAAAACTGGATGCGGTTATCGTAATCTCTATGTGAATTCCCCTGGTTTTTTTATATTATTATTATTATTATTATTATTATTATTATTATTATTATTATTATTATTATTATTATTATTATTATTATTATTATTATTATTATTATTATTATACGCCTTACTAGGAACTGCTTCCATCCTGCGACGATATCTGTAATACCATCAAACATCCACATCTGCCTATCCCAGGTCCTGGGTAAGGACTCGATAGGTAGACAAAATGCCAAATCCAGTCTGAACATCTGGCTGACTGTGCGATGATCCATAATAATAATAATAATAAAGTTGGAAGGGACCTTGGAGGTCATCTGGTCCAACCCCCTGCTCAGGCAGGAAACCCCATACCATTTCAGACAGATGGCCGTCTAGTCTCTTCTTAAAAACTTCCAGTGTTGGAGCATTCACAGCTTCTGGAGGCAGGTTGTTCCACCGGTTAATTGTTCTCACTGTCAGGAAGTTTCTCCTTAGTTCTAGGTTGCTTCTCTCCTTGATTAGTTTCCACCCATTGCTTCTTGTCCTGCCTTCAGGCACTTTGGAGAATAGCTTGACTCCCTCTTCTTTGGGGCAGCCCCTGAGATACTGGAAGACTGCTATCATGTCCCCCCTCGTCCTTCTCTTCCTTAAACTAGACATCCCCAATTCCTGCAAGGATGAAAACTCTCAACAGCCCCTTGTCTGTTTTTCTCTCCCTCTCTCCTGCCTCCTTTTAGGAGCAACCCAAAGCTCAGAAAATTCTCGCTTTGAAAATGCTAGCAGGGCTCCTGAACGGAGTAGATGTCAATCGTGACGCCGCGGCTTTTCCCGACTTCGAGGACCCTCTGGAGAGAAAACTGGCGGACGAGCCCTGGATGCTGGGGCAGACGCCGCACCTCGGCCCGCGGGATCGCAAAGCTCCGTGTAAAAACTTCTTTTGGAAAACCTTCACTGCCTGCTAACACATCATCCGCAGCCTTTCTGGCTTCCGTTGGGTATGTTTGCCAATGGGCCAGAAAAAAAAAGAAAAAGAAGAAGAAGGAGAATAAAAATAAATCATGGCCTGCAGTTGCTTCTGCCCATCCAGAAGAGTCTTGATTTGCGGACAGGGTGGGTGGGGGGAGGGGCCTTCCTCATCCCATTTTTGCCACCTAAGTAAAGTCCACGCATCTTTGCAAATCGGACGGAAGGATTAAAGGCAAAGGACGGGTTCAGTTGTTGCTGAACACTTCCCACACACCCCTGGGTCTTGTTAGAGTGTGGCCGGCTCTCTTTGTCTCTTTCTTTTGCTTTTCTTTCTTTTCCTCATCAAAGCACAAACTCCGAATTTCGTGATGATTTAATTGACAAATAAAGCATGGCCTGAGGATGTTGGTTATTTTTTGGTCTCCCTCTCTGTCTCTGTCTCTCTCTCTGTCTGTCTCTGTCTCTCTCTCTCTTTCAAAAAACAGGGGGAGGGCAGCTCCTGATTTTAATCACAGGAAAAAAACTTCAGGGGAAATGTCAAATGCCAAGAAAAGTGGATGTCCGAGGCGACGGATATGGCTAGAGCTGCAGGCAGATATTATGGTGTCTTGCAATTCTTTCTAATAGCAATAGCATTTAGACTTACCTACCGCTTCGCAGTGCTTTACTAGCCCTCTCCGAGCAGTTTACAGAGTCAGAAAATTGCCCCCAACAATCTGGGTCCTCGTTTTACCGACCTGGGAAGGATGGAAGGCTGAGTCGACCTCGAGCTGGTCAGGATCGAACTCCTGGAGTGAGGAGTGAGCTGAATTAGCCTGCAGGGCTGCATTCTAACCACTGCGCCACCACGCCTCCTTAATCCCCCTTAGAGCCCTCTTGAGATTGGGGGATGGATGGGGAAAGAAGTTGCTGATAGAACTACTAATGTGTAGATAGCACTTCCTCTGAGCCAGAATAATGGAGGGTTGAGGATCAGTCAATGTCAAAGCAAGCGAGGTTACGCCTACTTAGCTTTGCTCAAAATCTGATTGATTTCTGGAGCAATGTTTGGGGTGAAAAGGAAGCACCAATGCTCCAATCGATGCCTCAGTTATGGGGCCAGCCCTTCCCTTGCTAGCAATACACAGTCCTGTTCCAAATCTCAAAGTGATAATTCCACCCACAAAGAAAACCTTTTTTTTTTTCAATTAGTTGCCTCAAGCTGCATCCTCCCAAAGTCATCTTTTGCCCTTTTGCCTAATATTCCACAGCATTACCTCCAATTCTCTGCCAGTGACAGACTATTTTTCCTTTGGTTAACCTTCTGCAGGATGTTAGATGCCACTTCTGTTAAAACACAAAACAAAACAAAACTCAGGAATCAATTTCAGAATGTGATTTGGCTTTCACCCTTTGCATTCCAAAAAGCAGGCTGTAAGCTCGGACCTAACAAGCAGGCAGCCAGCGTGGTAACATTCAAAACACTGCTTACGTATGAAATTGGGGGTTTGGGGCAAGATTAGGCGCGCCGCCACGGCAAACTGGCAGAAAGGAAACTAGCCAGCTGTGAAAGGTGCTTGCACGGAGAGCACTGACTACGTTTATAGGATGGGCATCCCCGTGGCTAAGCATTCAGATTAGGGGGATGGCTCCAGGGGTCTAATTTAGGGGGTTCACACCACTCACTGACTACAAACTAAGCACAGATGCTGTGTTTTGACAGTACCCCAACATGCAGTCTGTGCTCCAGGGTCTTGTGGGGCCATACTTCTTCCTGTTAAGATTCACGGTGAGCCCTTCCCTGGAGCCCCTTCTCGAGAACACGAAGGACTCAGAGACAAGGAGAGGGAGATCCATTAGGGGGCTGGGTGTCCCTTCCTTGTCTTGGGCCATTACCTTCATTTTTGCCTCGTGCAAGAACTCCTGCTTGGCTGCTGAGGACCTCTGGCCTTGCTTAACCTGGGAAGTTGTGATGGCTATGAAAAGAGATGAGGCAGAACCTTCCTCTCTAACCACCCACTCCCTCCTTGAACTACTAAGGGCCTGATATGGACCCCCCTCTTCAGTGAGAAAGCTATGCCCAGGGGAAGCTCGCAGTGTCTAAAAGCTATCAGGCCCAGGAGACCTGGGAGGGAGAGCTGACACCAAAGAGAACAACTCAAAGAAGAGCCTTCGTTTTTATGCCGTTTTTTGCTTTCTCAACTGAGTCACAGATGCTTAATGGAGCAAAGCAAGAATTAACAGCCAGTATTTAAACAGGAAGAAGTCATTATGAATAAAGGCAAGGTAATTTTTTTTCCTTTGTTTCAATAGGAAGTAGCTACTGGCCAAAGCGTCCTTAATTGAAGAGGAAAAATTGTACAACTAACCGAGTAGACTACACAAGAACACACAAGAAACGACAGCCAACAGACACACATATATACACACACACACACGTCTTATGCAACATAATTGATGAGTCCACCATTCCCAAATTTCTGGAGCTGTAGCCCTAAAGATGAGGGTTCTGTTTCCATGTTGACTACTTGAACTGTCACTAAACAGTGAGAACCACACAAAAAAGTAATAATTCAAAAGTAAAAAAAAAACAATTATTAGAATAGAAGGGAAGGGACCATGGAGGTCTTCTAGTTATTAAATAAATAACACCCCACCCCCCCCACCCCCCCAAAAAGCTGGGTAAAGTGTGGACCAATAATCTCATAAATTGGAAGTAAACAAAAGCACTCAAGTACACGATGCAGGCAATAAAAGCAGAATTTGCAAGAGATATAATGATCTATAAAACCCCACAGGGTTAATTTAATTCCAGGCACTTCAGGTTTACTTTAGCAAAAAAATAGCAAGGAAGCTCAAAACTATAAAATCCTACCAGGCTGAGGACAGTTTTCAGAAGAGAACTTAATTCCCAGGCTGTGCTCCTCAACTAATGGAATAACAGTGACCCAACCTGCACCTAGAAATACAGGAAAATAAGAGTTATCAATAAATCTTAATTCTTCCCTTCCAGAAAACAAGTTGTTGGTTTTTTTTAAACTGGCCATTCTTTCACCCATTTTCCATTGCAGTAAAGAGACTTGACTTAAATTACATACTCATCTGCCTGAGATAACTGTCAGAGTTCTTCAAACAGAGAAATGTGGCAGGACTTGAAAGGTTTTAGGAGAGAATATTGTAAAATGGCAATACCGCCTTTTTTTTCCTGTTAACAGGCTGCAAACCTTTGGAATGCATTTGTAAGCTTTCTGAAAAATGTTTGGTTACAGATTGGAGTGGCTCGGATGACGGCCCATCGTTTGAGAGCGGGCTAAAGATGAACCTCAAATACTTTGGCCACCTAATGAGAAGGAAGGACTCCCTGGAGAACAGCCTAATGCTGGGAAAGATGGAGGGCAAGAGAAGAAGGGGACAACAGAGAATGAGGTGGCTGGATGGAGTCACTGAAGCAGTAGGCGTGAGCTTAAATGGACTCCAGAAGATGGTAGAGGACAGGAAGGCCTGGAGGAACGTGGTCCATGAGGTCGCGATGGGTCGGACACGACTTCACAACTAACAACACCAAAAGATGAACCACATCAATCTACAGATCAGACTGCTGATGGGATGTGGAATGCTGCCTTGACCGGCTCAAGGTTGAACTCAGCCTTTCATCCTTCTGAGGTCAGTAAAATGAGGACCCAGATCATTGGGGGGCAATAGGCTGACTCTGTAAACTGCTTGGAGAGGGCTATAGAGCACTATAAAGTGGTATATAAGTCTCAGCGCTGGTGCTAGTGCTATTTTTTTTATTGATTTACATATTCTAGTTCCATTACAAAATACGAGCCCTGGTGGCCCGGTGCTTAGAATGCAGCATTGCAGGCTAACTCTGCTCGCTGCCAGGAGTTCGATCCTGACCGGCTCAAGGTCGACTCAGCTTTCCATCCTTCCCAGGTGGGTCAAATGAGGACCCGGATTGTTGGGGGGGCAATAGGCTGACTCTGTAAACTGCTTAGAGAGGGCTGTAAAGCACCGTGAAGCAGTATATAAGTCTAAGCGCTATTGCTATTGTCCTTCCTTCCTTCCTTCCTTCCTTCCTTCCTTCCTTCCTTCCTTCCTTCCTTCCTTCCTTCCTTCCTTCCTTCCCAGTGGTTAGAATGCAGAATTGCAGGCTAACTCTGCATTCCCACTGCCAGTAGTTCGATCCTGACCGGCTCAAGATTGACTCAGCCTTCCATCCTTCCGAGATCGGTAAAACGAGGACCCAGATTTTTTGGGGGGGCATAGGCCGACTCTGTAAACTGCTTAGAGAGGGCTGTAAAGCACTGTGAAGTGGCATATAAGTCTATCTGTGCCTGTGCAGCAATTATCACCAAAATGATGGATCGAGGATGGCTCTCCATGCCACACCACAGCATGTACCCACATTTTTCTTTGGGTCAGAGGTTCCCCATACAATCGAGAAGACCCAAGAAAAGAATCAAAGAGGTAGAAGTACGTGGTATTTACTATCAGGGGTGAGGGAGACGATTTAAAAAAAAAAAAGGCAACAGGAAAATTATCCTCTTTCATCCCTGCCCGTTGACATGCGCTTAATTTGCTGCCCACCCGCTAGGCTGAATTTAACAGGGCTGTAAGGATCAGAAATTGCCTCTGATGAATTGGTGCTGAAGCCTGCCTCCTGGGCTGCCACGCCAAGGGATGAGCCATTATTCTTTCAATTTAGTTCGCAGATGTCTTTTAATAGGAATTAGAACTCTCCATATGGGGCTCTTTTCACAGCGCACAGGGCAGCTGTCCAGTCTCACCTTTCCGCCCACCTTCAGAGGGCCGACTAATCAGAATGAATGAGCCGGTCTTTCACGCCAAATGGCATGTGGATGGGCTCAACCCGCTCTTTGCTCAACCCATCAGCTGCTCGGAAATGTAGAACGGTGAGGGTATCTTTAGGAAAACAAAAACGGTGAATTCCCCAATGCCTTTTTTTTTTGACAAGTTTTGCTTTTGAGAATGAGGATTTTTTTTGGAGGGGGAG